ATTGAAATTGTGTCTTGATAATTCAGAAGAAATCATTCTGAAATTGGAATTCTGCGCCCATTCAAATCATCAAACAAACTTAAGGACAAGGAATTTAAAAAATACCTTTGGGAGGAAAGAAAGAAAGAAAATGTACTTTCTACACACTTTTCCTTAAAAAAAAAAAAATGACCTGGTGACCTGAGAATCTTCAAGGTGATTGAAGAAAAAGGGTGATCTGAGAACTTAGAAACCACATATTGAGCCTAGAGTATCTCCGGATGGCATCTCTACAGCAGGCTTCGAACAAAACTATCAAACGAGGCAACTCTCAAAAAATTCCCTTTGTTCTACCCAAATCAATCTCTGCAAGAAGAGCCCGGGGCACTCAGTAGAAAGCACAAAGATGCTGGAGACTCTTGGTGATGTGGTAAACAAGGCCTTTGCTTCTTAACCAATTTTTAGAAAGAGCTAACTGAAAAATTCCAGGTAAAACAAGAAACTTTATAAGTCAATCCTGGTCTAAAGAGGTAGCAAGCTAAAATGAGTCATGCTTTTGAGCCTCACTGAAAGGAAGAAAATCCACTTGACCCTGACTCTTGGAAATTGCTTCTTCACCAGTTAATTTGAATAACACTAAGTTGCAGTGGCTTGGTGATAAAAATTGCTTTCAAGGTCTCTTCTAATTGTTTCTATGGAGAAGAATTTTACCACAATCCTATATTCTGAAGAGTTTTAAAGTCCAGACTTAACCTACAGACAAAGCCTGGTCATGCAACTCCAGTTACAGAGAACTCCAACTGCTGAGCGCCACCTGCAGTGGGTGGAGGTCAGGAGGCAGTGAGGTTCACCCAGGGCCTCTCAGCTCCTTCTTCGTCTTGGTGGAGAAGGAAGATACCACTAAAAGCAATGGCCAAAGCTCATAAATGTAGGTACACCATTTGAAGTGACCTCTCAGGGAGCAAGATTTACTCATTTTCCAAGCTGAAAGCCAGGTGATACTGTAAGAAATTACAAATCAGTGTTTTCATACTTCGAGTTTAGAATTTTGGAGATAACCACCAAAACTAAAGAGAGATGATAAAATCGTTGGCTCTGAAGAGAGAACTGAGAGGGATAAGAGGTATTTACTTTCCATTAAATACTTGTTCATTTCCATTCTTGGCAGATGTTTCCATTCTTGGCATTTCCATGTTTTTAATACTTATAAAAATAACAACATGGTGATGATGCCTTCAGTAAAATTTTAAAATATAATGCCAAAACCCCAAAATCACTTGATCTCTTTAAGCTCCAAGTCAATTAACTATAAACTAGATATCTGCATTTCCCCAAATGGAGACCAACTTCTCCTAAATTAAGATGAAAAATAACAAAAAAAGTTTGGCTTTGGGATGATGGACTTGGGCTTCAGTTCTAGATTTAGCACTTACTGATGATGTGCTCTTCAGCTAAATTTACCAATCATCTTTCCCAAGCCTCAGCTTCACCAGTCACTAAACAGTGATAAAATTGAGCTTGAAACATTATTATGACAATTAAAAGTAATAATACACATGAAAATATGCTGATAAGATAATATAGAGTAAAATCTGAAGTAAGATAAAAATATTAAAATACTACTATGTGCCAGGCACATATTAAGCGCTGGACAATGTTGGTTGTTAAAATCACGTTCCTTCTGAGTATAGAGTTGGTGATTGAACAGTAAAATCAACTTAAATAGCATTGTATTTCTAGGCTATTACAATAGAGGCAATCAATAATTGAATATCCTGTGTGTCTCCTGGAACAGGGATTCTGACTTTAATATGCATATGAGTCCAGTTAGAAGTGCATACTGTGTCAGTGGGCCTGGGATGGGGGCCAACATTCTGCACAGGCTCCCAGGCCATGACAATGCTGCCTTCTAGGGACCCACTGTGAGTGTCAAAGTCCTAGAAGATAGAATGGGCTGGCAAAAGTATTTACAAATGGGCAACTTTCACATTATAAACCTGTAAGGAGGAGTTATTTCTTACAGTAACAATTAATAGGTCTATATTACTCTTTTGTGTTCATAAATTGTGTTAGATTATAAATGAATGTATATAGGGTGGCTGAATCTTTCGCAAAAGCCCACGTGGTCCCCCAGCTCTTGTCCCTGTGCACTCCCCAGGAGTCTGTACTTGGGATTGCTGGATGCAGTCACCACATGAACAGCTTGACCCTGTTAATTTCCAACTCGCTCTCCCTTCTGGTTCCTCTTGGTCACAGGCCTCATTCACTGCAAGGGAACATGCAAGGGGTGGGAAATCTCTCGTGCCTTTTATTCCGGACTCCACTGCCTCTTCAACAACTGAACATTAGGGGGTTTTCACAAATATCATTACAATAAATCTGACTAAACAATAACACTTGAGGCAACATTTAAATATTCTGTATTCACTATCCCTACCTCTAGGAATCTACCATGAAGATACCATTCTGCATTAGGCAGAATAAGGGATCCCTAACAATGTCCATATCACAATTCTTGTAGCACACGAGGATGTTACTTTATATGGCAGAAGAGATTTTATAGATGTGACTAAAATAAGAGCCTTGAAATGGGGAGATGATCTCCAATTAATAGAATGGGTTCAATGCAAACCAAGGATCCTTAAAGGGTAAGAGAGAGGCAGAATGGGAGGTCAGAATAAAGGATGTGAGAAGGGATCCACCCACTGCTGCTGGCTTTGAAGATGGAGGAAGGGGTCATGGGCCAAGGAGTGTGAGCAGCCTCTGGATGTTGCAAAGGGCAAGGAAAGAGAGAATTAGGGTCTCTGGAAAGGAACACAGCCCTGCAGACACCCTGACATCAGTCCAGTGAGATCTATTTCAGACTTATGACCTCTGGAATGGTAAGATCATAAATTTTTATTGTTTCAATCTACCAAGTTTGTGGTCAGTTATTATAATATCGATCGGAAAGTAATTCACTGTCCACACACATGAAATAACATATGCATAAGACAATATTGTGGGTTTTTTTTAATAATCGATAAAAACTGGAATCAACTTGAGTGTCTATCAAGAGGTGACTAGTTGGATAAATACAGTGAAGTACACTGTGCCCATGAAAGAGAACTAGAAAAATCTCCACACCTAAAAAGGCTGACCTTTGGGACATTATTATCAAATGAGAGAAAAAAAGCAAAGTTTAAAATGCTATGTATTATGCTCCTTTTTATATAGGAAAGATAGGGTAATTAGAATATATATATATATATATATATATATATATATATATATATACATAGTAAAGAGAAACTGTAAATATAAATTAACTAAAAAATTACTATGGGATATGACAAGATGGAGTTAGAGAAAAAAAATAAGATGTTCCTTAACATTTTGTATATAGAATTTTGACTTTTGGACTGTGTAAATGTTTTGCATATTTGAAATAAAATTGAAATTAAAACTAAATTTAAAACAAAATTAAAATGTTCATACTTATTTACCATCTACAGCCTTAAAATCCTTCCCAGATCTTTACTCTGATCCTAATGGAACTTTATCCCAGTATCAAATAAGTACCCAGGGACAAGAAACTGCTTCCTGACAGAACTGACAAAATCATACTGGTGGATTAGGAGCGACCGTTTCTGCTGGCTTTACTGTTCCCTAAATCATTTTCTGAACTTTGCTCCACTCACACTGGAAACCTCATCAATTCCATAGAGTTGGCAACGGCGCCATCTGGTGGGAATAACCTAAAACTATAAATGCAGTATTTTCTTGAAGGGCTGCTTTTATCCTGCAATTCTATCATATGTGAGATGTGGGAGACAAGCAATCTGAAATAGTTGGGACCAAGACCTTTGTGACACCTGTGTGAAATTAAGCTCACTCTTAACACAAGTGTTGATTGACTGCATTTTAAAAAGTGCATATGGCTCACAAAATCCTTACTGGATCTCCTTACAAGAAGCAATTTTAATAAATTTTTGTTAGTACCAATTATATACACTCCAAATCCACTTTCATAGTTTCTATAATGCACATAAACTATGTAGCCAGCTTCGGGGTGGGGGAAGCCAACCAGATGATTTACAAACCTTCCTCAGTTTCTAGAGGTGAGGTGATAGAAGCTATAGCACAACACAGCAAGGCCCAAAGTCATTGAATAAAATGCACCGCTTTGTTTTTTCTCCTTCCTTTACCAGTAGTTGCAACTGAATGAAATTATTTCTTGGCCCAACTCTTATCATGAATAGGAGATTTTCTATTTCTTTTAAGATGTCTATATGCCAGGATGAACTAGAAAACAGAGGCAAATAGGTAATTTGGGATAAAAATAACCAAAGTTATTTTTTTTAAAGATTGATGTGATATCTTTATAATTTTATTTTATTTATTATTTTTATGTGGTGCTGAGTATCCAACCCAGTGCCTAACACATGCTAGGCCAGTGCTCTACCACGGAGCCACAGCCTCAGCCCCAAATAACTTTGGTTTTAAGGTCTTCAAATAATCATCATTTGAAATACTGTTTGTACTAGATAATTGCTTTAATTACTCCAACACCCAAGTTGCTCTCAGGCAAATCAATTCAATTCAAAAGAAAAATTTTGAGCATGCACCATGCGCCCTGCACCGGCCTGATTCAGATGCTGGGAGGGAGTGGGGATGCCTAAGAGGTGAGGAAGCCTCTTTCAAATTAACTGGTGAACTTTGCACTTGGCCATCGGATGAAAATGTGGCTGCTCATGAGGTGGCAGGTAAGGCCATGAACTGAAAGAAACGGTTTGAGGTCCCAAAGATAAGGAAGAAATAACCTGAAGGAAGATGGGCAGCCATGAAGATGAGTAAACAAAGAAAAAAAATAGATATATGTAAGGATGAAACAGGAAGGACAGGATGAAATTAAAAGGGCGGAAGAAAAGTTGTGAGCATTTGCATGCAACTCTCTCACCAGCAAAGGCAGAGGCTACAGGTATCTTATCCCCCTCTTCAGCTAGGATTGACTTGTAAGGGTGCTCTTACTCAGGAATTACCTTCTCTCCTTGCATCTGCGATCACCTTGGCTGCAGATTTACTCATCACGTGCACCACATAGAGAGGGCAGTTCACAGCGCTGGCTATGGTGATGGCCCTCAGCGTGGCCTCTGCCTCCACGGCTTCTGGTCGGCACAGCTCGTGGCCCTCGGGGCCTGTGATCCCCAGTGCCAGCATCTTCTTTGCCTCCTAAAAGGACAGCAAGAATGTAAAACGACAGCAGGAAGGTTTGCCAACAACAAGTATTGTTTATTGTTACTTCATCAAAAATGAAAGGTACTTAGAATTTTTTAGAGGTGCTAAGTATAGGGGTGTGTATGTGTGATGTGTATGTAAGTGTGTGTGTGAGTGTGTGTGAGTATGTGCACATGTGTGTGTATACAGTGTGCATATTTGGTAAAAATAACTTCAGTATACCCATACCATATGTTAATTTTCCATATGCATATTTTCACCACCAAATTCTTTTGATTGAAAAGTTTAAAAAAAAAAAGATACGAGGCTCATTCTAATGACACTCTTTGAAAAACAATGTCCATATTGAAGAACAGAATATTGTTTCAGACAAACAAAACCAAATACTACATACAGATCTTTGTTGAAGTGACTCATTATAATATATTATGTGATTAGCTTAATTTTTTTTTTTAACCTAATGGTAGTCATCGCTGTCTCACCAACCCAATCCAGTAAATAATGCTGGATCAATTATTTTTCTACTCCAAAATTTTATTTCTTACACACACACACACACACACACACACACACACACACACACACACAAGGGCAAAAAGTCAAGAATCCGAGTGGTAAAATGACTCACTCATGTCATGCAGCCAGGGAATGGAAGAGTCAAATTTAAACCTGGTCTGTTTGATTTTACAGCTCATGCCCTCTTCTCATTACTTCCACTGCCTGCTGGCCACTGAGCCTCAATCTCACTCACTGTAATGGGAGCTGAGCCTGGGGAGAAAAAAAATCTGCTAATATAAAGAGTAAGAGACAGCTCTTTAAATCTTGCAGATAGTGCACCCTTTGGGCATTAATAATGGAACTAACATGAGAAATAAATATCATCCAGATTCCTCCAGAGTACATTTTAATTCCCAGTTTCTGAAAAGAGAAGAGCCTTTCAAAAGCTATCTAATACACTGCTTAAGTCACCAGATTACACTGATGCTGTCCACACTTTAGCATTTGGAACCCAGCAGCCCAAACTACTAATAAAACAAACAAAACACAAGTGCTGAGGGTCACAGGGAAAGCTACATGTGTTTTTACAATAGCACATGGTTAGAATCTAATATAGGTAGCTGTTTTAAAAAAGGGAAATCCTTACCAGTGTGTATATCAGTTGACTAAAACTCAGAGCAGGGGCTTAAGTAAGCAAGTCAAATAATTATGAGCCACAGAAAATCAGTTTCTGTTCGGTCCTTGTGTCCTTCACTGCCCTGAATGAGTTCACTTCTTAGGCCAATCATCTTACCAAAGTTATGGCTGCTTTTATTTCTGTAGAAGGGTTGGAATGCAAATGCTTACCTCTGCAATTAAGTCTCCATTTTCTGCATGGACCTGAGCAATTGCACCAATTTCCTTGCACTGAGAGAAGGCTGCGTAGAGCTCCTTATCTCCCACCATGTACAGATCCCTATAGGCCATAAACATCTTGAAAGAGTTGACACCTTTATCTCTGGCAAGGATTTTCATTTCTTCTTTAACCTAAATGGGAACAACAACAACAACGATGTGTCACTCTTGAATAGTTTCAACATTCTCCAAAAAAAATTACATTCAGAAAAGAAATCAGTAAAATAAGGAGAAAAAACTTAGTTCCAGAAATAATGCAGGGAAGTTCTTAATCTTTCTCTCACCATACACACTATTTTATCTGATGAATTGCTGCTGCTCTGATGTTTTAAATCATGAAAAAGTTAATAGCTTTCCCCAAGGTACTTCATTTCTATATTTGGTATAAACTTCTCTGCATCCATCTCCCAGTCTGAGGAAATTATTCTAGAAAATGAAGAGGAAGCCATGTGGCTGCAATAGAAGCAATCATGGATCTAGAAGGACTTGAAGCTTAAGTGACGTCAAGTCTAAAACCACAGGAAGAGTTCCTAAAAGGAGGAAGGAGAAGATGTGGATGTATATGGAAGTAGAAAATAATCATCCCATCATCCACATCCATGGAAAGTCCCATTCTTCTATCCTCAGGCACAGAGGCTTAAGCCTCACTCCTCCAAAAGTAGTACCTGAACCAGCAGCATCTGCATCGCCTTGCCAGAAATGCAGAGTCTCAGGATCCACCCGGTTCTGCACTGTTGCTATGGGTTGACTTCTGTGCCTCTAAAATTCATATGTTGGATCCCAACTCCTTATATGGAAAGAGGGTCACTGCATATGTTAGTTAAGATGAAGCCATTAGCATGGACACTAATCCCATATGATTGGTGGCCTTAAAAAATCAGAAAACTGACACTGACTTGCACATAGGGACAACACAATGTGAAGACAGAGGCAGAGACTGCTGGGAAGCTTCTGCAAGACAAGCAACACCAAAGATCACAGCGAGCTATGAGGCCCAGGACAGAGATCTGGAACTCCCTCGCATCCTCAAAAGGAACCAACCCAGCTGACAGCTGGATCCTGGACTTCCAGCCTTTGGAAGGGGAGATGATACATTTCTGTTGTTTAAGTCATTCTGTTTGTGAAGCTTGGTTGTAGCAACTGAATAGAACCTACATTTTAACCATAGTCACCAGGTTATCCCTGTGCATATTAAAGTGTGAGGAGTCTGATAAGGGCAAATGGTATCATCTCTGCTCTGTCTTATAAAATAAAAACTGGAGGGAAGGAGGGAGGAAGGAGAGAAGGATGTGCTTTCAAGGCATAAAAGAGAAAAGATGCAACACTTAGAATGGAATTTTGGAGAAAAATCAACATCAACTTTAACTGTGACTGTAAACTTTGCTATCATATATTTGTTGAACTATCTGTTAAATATAGATTACTCATTTTATAATAACTTGATATCTAAAGCCCAATTTGGGGGAAGAGGTGGGAGCCTGAGATACTCAGATAATGTTGCTATAGTGAACTCTTCTGGACAAAAAGATATCTGAATGATGTACAATGTGGAAAAACGAGTTGGGATTTAAATCCCCGTTAAAAGTTTCTTCCAAGGCACACACAAATTTACAGGGCAAAATCAACATATTTTATCAGCTCTTAAGATGGTCTTTGTTGTCTGAATCTTGTTATCTTTTCTGCGGTGGCCTAAGTCATGAGTGGACCTGGAAGACTGGTTAGAGGTTAGACTCTATTATGAACGGTTGCCAGGGGGTAGCATCAGCAGAGCTGTGCAGGAAGGTCCAGGTCAGGAAACCGTGGAGAGAGGGCCTTGGAAATGGTGCTGGTCTGCATCCCCTCTCTCAACAGAGTGTCAGGGGAGGGATAGGAGACATCTAATTTGAAGGAATTCTAGATATAAAATCTCCTTAATTTTTTTCCCAGAACCTAAGCACTTTTAATTGAAGTTCTAATCAGTGGGAGAATCACAAGATTCTGGGAATGTTGAAGTTGAGAAAAAGAGAAATCAGTACTTTAAAAATTACATTTAAAGCATTTAAAATTCATGCATTAAATATTAGGAGAAGCTGCATGAAGGAGCATAAAGGATTTATCTTAGTGGCTTTATGTATTTTTTATTGTAGTTTTTTAAATTGATAATTCTTCACAGAATTCAGAATTTAAATACTACAAAAGAGCGTGCAGTGGAGTGGCCTCCCTCAAGTCTCCAAGCAGCCGACACTACTAGAGTCTTGCCTTTTGGGCAGAGCAAGAAGAAGGGGACTAAGAGGAACAAACTGGAACCCAGATGCCTCACCTGGTCACTCCACCACGTCACAGCCACGTGGAGGCTGTAGTCACAGCAGACTTTCGGGTCAGCCCAGCTGCGCCAGGTCTCAAAGGCCTCAAGGAGGGAGTCACCCTTCTGGGGGATGGCAAAATCAATGATCATGGTGGTGCCTCCTGCCAGAGCAGCCTGGAATCACAAGAGGGTTTCAACAAGTTAGCCATCAATTTCTAGCCAAGTCACTTATCACCTAGAGCAATGTGTATTTGCAAGTACTCGGGGAAACTTGATGGGTCCAGAAAATTGTACAATGATGCTGCCTATTTAAAAGACCCAGAGGGACATGGGTAGATGGCCCATAAATTAAAGTTTGAAGTGTTTAAACTGCTGGCATTGCTTCTGCAAAAAAAGAATGACAAATCTGATAAGGTGAAAGTGGCCTTGACTGGAAGAAAACAGCGAGGACTGTAAAGAAAAGCCAAAATGGAAAAGTGTGAGAGGTTCAAACATTTTTTTTCCTCAAGAAACTATACTCCCTATAGTAAAATTTCATTTTATTAGGGTCCGTGTTGGACCCTAATAAACTGCCCTGGGATCCATCCAGGATCCTGGAAAACCGACAGGGTTCCTGCCTTTCCCTCTGACATTGGTTTTCTTTGGTTTACAACTGTCCCTCTATCCATTGCGGCCCCTCTGGTTAGTTCAGAACCCTCTCTCACCCCGACTGTGTTAACAGTCTCAATCGGTCTTCATCTCTCCAGTTCTGCTCCCTTCTTCATGCAAGTCCTCATTGCAGAGGGATATTTCCAAAGTACAAATTGGCCAGTGGCCACTGGACTTCAAATGTTAAAGGGGACAAGGGTTGGCCAGAGGTTGGTCAGCTTGGACAAAGTTACAGCTAGACAAGAGGAATAAGTTCTGGCATTCTATTGCATGGTAGGTGATCGCAGTTAACAAGAGTGTAGGGTAGATTTCAACACAGCTTGTAGGGAAGAGTTTGAATGTTCTCACCAAGCAGAAAATTTGAGGTGATAAATATGATAGTTACTCTGACCTGATCATTAACAACCGATATATGTACAGCACATCGTACCCTATAAATATGTAGTTATTTTGTGTCAATTAAAAAAAACATAAGAATTTTAAAAACTTGATGCTTCTCACTGCATATGGAATAAAGTTGAATCTTCTTAACGTGTCCTGTAAGTCCCTGCATTCTATCTCAATTCTCCATATACCTCCTGGCCTATTATATTACATTACATTTTGTTACAACTAATTTAAAAACTGTTACTAAATCAAATGCCTTGGACTAATTATTAAAATTGATTTCATTTAAACTACAACCACAGGGTGGTTAATGTGCTTTTAATTGTTGTACTCAAACAATGCAGGTGAAGAAAACAAATACAGACATGGAGGAGCGATAGCACTGTGATTTAGGACAAGGCCCCAGGAGGCTCTCCGGCTCCAGAGCACAAAGCTCAGATTCAACACTTATTAGCTGAGCAATTTCTTAACCTCTGTGTGCCTTCAATTCCTCATCTGCAAAGTGAGGACAACAATTGCACCCAACCTACAGGCCTGCTAGGAGGATTAAAGTGGGATTTTGTAAATAAAGGACTTAGTACAGAGTTTGACTCCTGCAAGGGATTTGTAAGCTTCAGTGCATGCTGTATCATGAGTTTTGCACCCTTCTCTCAGAATTAGGACTTCCTCCACTTTTCCTACATCATCTCATCTCCAGAAACATGGTAGTACGGCAATGGAGGAAGGCAGTGCCACCAGTCTCTCTCCCATGCCTTCCAATCACACCCGTGTCACCCTCCTCACACTGCCCTCTGGATGCACCAAATGTTCCCATGTCCTACCTGGACTGCCAGCTCTATTCTACCTCCTTTTTCTTGCTTACTTCAATAGATTTTTTTGTTTCCTTAAGTCACTTGGCTCTACTTCAATTATTTTGGCTCTTAGAAAACTCGTTTGTTGTACAAGATTCTATACTTTATCTCTGCCTTTATATATTACACGGCTTTATTCATGCCAAAAAATATACATATTTGCATTTCCTAAGAAATCCCTATTGGTGTAGTGACAATACGAGAAAAAAAAAAATCTTAGGTTGTGTTTTTATTTGGATACTGATTTATCTTCTCACCTTCTTCCTTCTCAAAGTGTCTTCGCAACACAACACAAACATCCCTTGAGAATGAGGAGCATTTTTCTAATGTAACGTACTGTTAGAAGAAAGTACTTTTCCAGATCTACTGAATTGGAAATCAAGCTTACAAAACTTATTCTTTCCCTTTGAAAAGTTTACTGCATATGAGACATGGAGAAACTAGACATAGCCATCCCTTAGTGTCCATGGAAATTGGTACCAGAATCCCTCAGGACTCCCAAATCTATGGATGTTCAAGTCTCTTAGAAAAATGGAATAGCATTTGTATGAAATCTATTCACAGTCTTCTGTATATTTTAAGTTATCTCTAGATTACTTATCTACCCCATACAGTATAAAGGCTTTGTAAACAGTTGTTATAGTATATTATTTAGGGAATACTGACAAGAAAAAAAGCCTGAACATGTCCAATAAAGATGCAATTTAAAAATGTTTTTCAATCCATGGTTGGTTAAATCCATAGTTGCAGAACCCACGTTACAGAAGATCAACTGTATGCCTCTGGTGGGAATCTAAAATGATGGAGCCATTTTGGAAAACAGTCTTGAGTTCCTTAGAAAATTAAACATAGTTACCATGTGACCTAATCATCCTACCCTTAGGTATACATCCAAGAGAAGTAAAAACACGTCCCCACAAAAACCTGTATGCAAAATTCAAGACAACATTTTCCATTGTAGTTGAAGAGCAGAAACAATCCATCTATCCATTCTTACGGATTGGATCTGGAATGTGCACTAAAGGCTCATATGGAGATGACTTGGTCTCAGAGCAGCAGTGTCCAGAGGTGGGGCTTTTGAGAAGTGATTGAATTATGAGGGCTCTAACCTCATCAGTGGATTAATCTATTTTATGGATTAATAATTTGAATCAACTGCTGGGAAAGATGGGAACCAAAGATAGGTAGGGCATAGTTGAAGGAACTAGGTACCTGGAGGTGTACGCTTAGGACCTGTGTCTTGTCCCTGACCTCTCTGCTCTACTTCCCAGCTTCCATTAGCTGAGCAGCATTCTTCTGTCATGATGTTCTGTCCTGCTTCAGGCCCTGAACAATGGGGCCAGTTGGCCACGGACTAAAACCTCAGAAACTATCACCTGAAATAAATTTTTTACCTTTCAGTCGTTTATGTCAGGTACTTTGGTATTTGAATCTGATCAACAGTCATCAGCTCATGAATGGATAAACAAAATGTTGTATATTCATACAATGGATTAGTATTTGGCATCAAAAGGATAAAGTACTGATACAGGCTAAACCATGAATGAGACTTGAGAACAGGATGCTCAGTGAAGGAAACCAGTCACAACAGATCACATTGTATGGTTCCATTTATATTAAATGTCCAATAGGGTCAAATCCACAGAAATGGCAAGCAGAGTAGTTGTTGCTTGGGGTTGGAGGGGATGGAGAAGAGTAGAGGGTGATAGCTAAAGGGAAGGTGGCGTTTTGTGTGTGGAGGAGGGGATGTTAAAAAGTCCTGAAACTCATTATGGTGAGGGTTGCTGTTACGGGTTGGATTTTTTTTTTTTTTTTTTTTTTTAGAGAGAGTGAGAGAGGGGAGAGAGAGAGAGAGAGAGAGAGAGAGAGAGAGAATTTTTTTTAATATTTATTTTTTAGTTCTCGGCGGACACAACATCTTTGTTGGTATGTGGTGCTGAGGATTGAACCCGGGCGGCACACATGCCAGGCGAGCGCGCTACCGCTTGAGCCACATCCCCAGCCCTGGATCTTAATTATGTCCCAAATGCTCATGTGCTGAAGTCTTGGTCCTCAAAGCAGCAGTGCTCAGAGGGGCAGCCGTTGGAAGGTGATTGGATCAAGAGGACCATGACATCATCAATAGACTGCTCCACTGACGGGTTCAGAATTTGGTGGGCTTTTAGACAATGGTGTCAACTTAGGACATGGAGCTTAGTTGGAGGTACCAGGTCCTTAGGGGAATATCCTTGAAGGCTATATCTTGTCCCCAGACCCCACTGCTTCTTCTCACAATCATATGAATGTATGAAGAGCCTATATACTTTAAATGGATGAATTTTATTGCATATAAATTATATTTTAATATAATCTCTGCTTCCTGGTTGCCATGAGCTGAGCAGATTTGCTCTACCACATCCTCCCCACCATGATGTTCTGCCTCATCACAGGCCCAGAAACAATGGAGTCAAATGACAATGGACTGAAACCTGTGAAACTAGGAGGCAAAATCAATCTTTCCTCCTTTAAGCTGTTTATCTCAGTTATTTTGTTACAGCAATGGAAAGCTAACACAGTGGTACAATCATGTGAATGTATGAAGAGCCTGTATACTTTAAGTGGATGAATTTTATTGCATATAAATCATATTTTAATAAGATTATTATAATAAAAGTCTACCCTGTGTAGACATTGCATGAAGTGAAGGAAGTAGGTGGGGGAGACACACAAAGAATCAAAGATTTTGCCTTCCAGGTGTGTGTAGTCCAGAGGGAAAAATAGAAAAATAAGGACAGATCATAATAAAATAATTCAATCATATTAACAGACAGTAAATCTGGTTTTATAATTAATAATAGTATAGAAATAGTTAAAGGGAAGTAAAAGTTACTAAGCTCCCTAAAAGAGGAACAGAGAAAAGACAATAGGGAATTTAGAGGGGGAAAATACTGACTCAGAGATCAGAGGAAGGTCAGATTTAAATAAAGAGTAGGACATACACATGGAAATTGCCAGTAATTAGAACATCTAACCCATAGTGAGAGCTTGTCATGTGCCAGGAGCTACTCTGAGGTTTGGCATATTTTAATCATCTCAACAGCTCTGCAGTGCTGTTAACCCCATTTTAGAGTGAAGGAAAGGAACAGAGAACCATTAAATAACTTGGCCACAGTCTCACAACTAGAGACAAAGGCGGGATTGAAATCAGGGTCACCAGGCTCCAAAGCCTGTCCTTCCATGAAAAGTGAATGCACAAGGGCAGACCCTGAGAAAGGCACCCAGGAAAAGAGGAGTCAGCAGTTTAGCATA